ATTACATTACTCCATCTTTAATAAAGTGACTATAGGACCAGTTTGATATAACACAATTTCATACAATATATATAATTAAGGGGTCCTTGCTCCATCTCACCATCAGTTTGACGGTCCTTGTCATTAGAAGTTATGTTATGACTAAATGTAGAAAAAACTTCAAGGGGATTTTATACCATGATTAAAAGTACTGTGTATTTACTTTGCCCTGTTGCTCCTCCACAGAGGCCACACTGGAATCGAAGAGCAAAACTCCTCATGGTTCGAACTCAAATCTGGCCAATCCACAGCCAAAGTCTAAAACACAGCCTCCTGGGTCCTCCACCACCAGGCCTTCTGCTTCTGCCAGACCCCCAACAAGACCCACTGAACCAAAGGTGTTTCTGTCCTGTATTTATATTGACATCTAGATTATTTTAGTCTCACTTTCAGAAATAAAACAAACACATACTTTAATGTACACAAAAAGTCTATTAGAGAGTGAAACTAAGTGTTGATTCATTTGGAAAGTGCAGTAAAGCCTGAGTTTTTTTATTTATTTTTTACTGTAAACGAAAATGATAACGATAAAAGAGGGCACTAAAGAGAGGGGTTAAAGCTTTACTATGACAGGTATAGTGGAGGATTTTTCGCAAACTTTTGAAAAGCCCTCTCCATTTGAAACAAAAAAAAAAAAAAAAAAGCATGCGCATAGCTCTGTACCCGCTCCCGAGAGGGAACGCCTATTATGAGCGTGCACAAGCCCATTTCTCCTCTTGCACGCTATGTTTAAAAGTTGCTGTTTGCTTCGCTCATACAGGTTTACGTTCCAAAAGAAGATTTGCTATTTTTTTTGATGACCCATCCAGAGAAAGAAAATCCTCCACAATACCTTTAAAGATGATGAAATAAAAAAAAAAACAAAGCCTCTCACAGGAATCATATTAGTTATAATAAACTTATGAAAGCGGAGAATCCTTTTGCAGAATTTAAAGGAATTATCACCCATAAATCCGATTTTCCTTTGTGTAGGAGACTGTGTAACAATGCTAGACCAACCATAGGAAACTAATAATGTTGCTAATGGTACTTCCACATGAATGCACATATATTCATGTCAAATCATTATCCCTACCATTGTGAGAAAAAAAGAGGAGTTCAGAATAAGCTATTTTTAAAAATGTATTATTAATATTTTCACCTAAAATAATTAAAAATGAATTGAAATGCATAAATAAAATACCAGCTTATGACTCATTTAATCAGTAGAAAGATAAGAAAAGGACAAATTAAGCTACTGTGGAGCATTTACCAGTTACCAGAGAAAAATTACTATTGAAGGTGTAGATTACGTTATTTTTCTAAAAGATAATGTGATGATATAAGTGCAGAATTAAGGATATTGATTTAATGCTAACTTGTCCTCTTAAAAAGCAGACATTACAGATATTTTCTGGATTCTCTGCAGAGCTGCTTCTCAATCAGGAGTGAAGAGAATAGTTTCATGACATTTTCTTTGCTAAAAAACACAGCCTCTTTTCGGTCTTCGTCTACACTTTGTTTGTTTCTTCTGCTGCCCTTTGAGAAGGCAAGCATCTGTGCCTAAAGTAAATAATATGTAATGCTTTTTGTAAACGTTCTTCCCATTCAGGTGACCCCTCGGATGGGGAGAGACCAGAATGGAAAGCCTCCTGCTGTGAAACGGCCTCCAAAGAAAGATATGAAAAACTTCAAGAATGTAGACAGTAAACTGGCCAACTTAATTCTGAATGAAATAGTTGACAGGTATGTTATATAATCTGCAATATATGAGGTTTAAAAAAAAAGAGCCAGATTAGAAGTTTATGTTCTCTGCAGGGGGGCTTCTGTATCCTTTGAAGATATCGCCGGACAGAATTTGGCGAAGCAAGCACTCCAAGAAATTGTCATCCTTCCCTCTTTAAGACCCGAGGTTATTATTTTAAATATCTTTCTTTCTGTTTACTGTTTTTATGCTTTTTCAGTTAAACGTCTAACAAGTTTTCCTTCGCTGTTTAGCTGTTTACTGGACTGAGGGCACCTGCACGTGGTTTGCTTTTATTTGGCCCACCTGGAAATGGGAAAACCATGCTGGTATAATCCAATAACATGAAAACAACCTGAAATTATGACAATTATTATTTTTTTTTATTTTCAGACTGTATTTTACCTTCATGTCTATCTGAGTTACATTTTTTCTTCCAATTCTAGGCCAAAGCAGTCGCTGCAGAGTCTAATGCCACATTCTTTAACATTAGTGCTGCTAGTCTGACTTCTAAATGGGTAAGAAGGATATTTTCTTGCTGCAATAAATATCCGTCCTACTCTTCTTCTAAACCCTTCACCCTGTTTCCATTGAAGGTTGGAGAAGGTGAGAAGCTAGTCAGAGCCTTATTTGCTGTTGCAAGAGAACTGGAGCCTTCCGTCATCTTTATTGGTCTGTATTACTCTCTACGCTTTGCCTTCCAGTCATCGGCCAGAAAGAGGTTATATATCTGCTTTCTGTTTTCCTCTCAGATGAGGTGGACAGCTTGCTCTGTGAGAGGAGGGAGGGGGAACATGATGCCTCCCGTCGTTTAAAAACAGAGTTTCTCATCGAGTTTGACGGGGTGAGAATGAGAGCATGCTCAGAAATTTGATCTGGGATTGTTACCAGAGCGTCTCCGTTCTGTCACACGTGGGAACTTGGGTGTCGTTTTCACAACAGCACCTCTGGATTTCAGGTGCAGTCAGCCGGAGATGAGAGGGTTCTTGTGATGGGAGCAACTAACAGACCTCAGGAGCTTGATGAAGCAGCCTTAAGGTACACAAACTCTTCATGAGTGCTGCACCATGATGTAGAGATGCATCAGTCAGAGGGTTTGTGGCCAATTTTAAACGACTGGCTGTGTAAAATTCTGATCTAATGATTCTGTATCTCTTTAAGAACCATAAACGATAAATTATTTTTATTTTAATAGTAAAAGATTGAAGTCTATAATAAAACTAGGATTTTATCATATAATAGGGATGCAATAAATTTGAGGGATGAAAAAAATAATCAGCTTGCAATTGAATAATAGTTGATTAGATTAAAATGTGTTCCACCCAATTAACTGACAACGTCCTATTTTAAGACAAATCTTATTTTAGTATTGTAGTATGGTTGCAATCCACAAGAGGGCGCCACTTTTCATCCTTAAGTGGAGCCAGACCAAGGCTCGATCCAAATGCCTCATATTGGTAAAGACTTCAGCCCGGGTGTATGGAAGAAAAACAGTCTCGTTGGAATCTGCCTTTTTTTTAACACCGAATTTTAAACACTGAATTTTTTTAACAGCGAATTTTAAACACAGAATTTTTTTAACACAGAATTTTAAACACTGACTTTTTTTAGACATTGAATTCCTTCTACGCAATTTTTATCTGGTAAAAATTCACCAGAAAAAAACTCAGCTGCAAAAAAATTCAGCTCCAAAAAATTCAGCTGCAAAAAATTCAGCTGCAAAAGTGTTGACCTACTGGTGAACTCAAGCCAAAGCAATCTACACTCGATAGAGTCGAGGAGCTTCTAGCAAATGAAATTAGCTCATTTGGTCACGTGACACAACGGCTGCACTCAGCTGAATTTTTGCAAGTGAACTTTTGCACTTGAATTTTTTGCAGCTGAATTTTTACCAGATAAAAATTGCGTAAAAGGAATTCAATGTCTAAAAAAATTCGGATTTAAAAACATTCAGTGTTTAAAATTCTGTGACTCCAATGAGACTGTTTTCCTTCCATACCGGTGGAAGTGCGTCCGCTGCCGCCATAATCAGTGCTGATCAAAACAATATTACAAAATCTATAGTGTTTGTACAATATTTATTTAAAATAGTTAATAGCAGCTGTGTCTTAATATCTGAAAGAAGTAAAGCTCAGATTTTTGGGAAAAGATTATTAATCATGTATTCTAAACATACTCTGGAGCCTTTTAGTCCCGTCATATTTAGATGACATTGAACTGAGCAGCTGGTGTTACTGAGCTCTACATTTAAACTGAATGTTATTTCAAAATAGAATGAATTTCTTCCTGTTATTTTAAGCTTAGGATTATCTGTATTATTACCATAAAAGGCAAGGATTTCTTTGATAGCCCCTATAGACCCTTACTGACAAGATTTTCTAATCCAGCATGTTTTATGATAAAACACTAAACTATCCCAAAAGATTAAATGGAAACTTTGCTCAAATATCAGTATGAACTCTGACCCCCTCTTGTGGCAGAATGGAAGAACAGTGGAGTTGTGTCTGTTGAAAGTTATGCTTAAAATGACCTAAAAAATGTATTTCCTCTTACCTGTTTTTTTTTTTTTTTTTAAAGACCTATCTCATTTATTCTTTCCAACTTCGTAACAAACCCAACTCTGAATAGGGTCTTTGTAATCATCAATGTGCCGCAGTGCTGGTCTATAATGTGTGCATTGTTAATTACTCTAGCTTTTTATATTTATAATAAAAGGTTTTTTTTGTATTTTATCTTGCAGGCGCTTTGCAAAAAGGGTTTATGTGTCGTTGCCTGATGAAAAGGTATCAACCATCCATAAGTGTGCCATGCTTGCTTTCACTGTTACTAATGGGAACTATTTCATGTATTTTTTGACTCTGCTTTCCATGCTTCCTTTAGACACGATGCACGTTGCTTAAAAACCTTCTAGGAAAACATGGGAATCCGCTAAACGATAGGGAAATTTCCCAGCTTGGAAAGTGAGTGCTACACACTGTTAATGTGTGATTTTGTTGATTGCTTTGGCATTAATTCCCAGCAATGTTATCTGACAGAGTGACAGCAGGATATTCAGGAAGCGACCTGACATCATTGGCCAAAGACGCAGCACTTGGACCCATTAGAGGTAGGATGCATCTGTCCTACTGGTCAAATACAGTCGGGGGGAAGAATACAAGTTTTTTTTTGTCATGTTTGTTGTATTTGCCAGTAGTTTACATTTCACACAAGAAAACATTGTTTTCCATGACAGTATTTTAGAGCTCTCTTCACAATATCTGGCTTTTCTGGTAAAAATCTCTGAGAAGACTTATTATGAAACTGAGATAGTCATGAATACAGATGTGGCATCNGGTGTTACTGAGCTCTACATTTAAACTGAATGTTATTTCAAAATAGAATGAATTTCTTCCTGTTATTTTAAGCTTAGGATTATCTGTATTATTACCATAAAAGGCAAGGATTTCTTTGATAGCCCCTATAGACCCTTACTGACAAGATTTTCTAATCCAGCATGTTTTATGATAAAACACTAAACTATCCCAAAAGATTAAATGGAAACTTTGCTCAAATATCAGTATGAACTCTGACCCCCTCTTGTGGCAGAATGGAAGAACAGTGGAGTTGTGTCTGTTGAAAGTTATGCTTAAAATGACCTAAAAAATGTATTTCCTCTTACCTGTTTTTTTTTTTTTTTTTAAAGACCTATCTCATTTATTCTTTCCAACTTCGTAACAAACCCAACTCTGAATAGGGTCTTTGTAATCATCAATGTGCCGCAGTGCTGGTCTATAATGTGTGCATTGTTAATTACTCTAGCTTTTTTATATTTATAATAAAAGGTTTTTTTTGTATTTTATCTTGCAGGCGCTTTGCAAAAAGGGTTTATGTGTCGTTGCCTGATGAAAAGGTATCAACCATCCATAAGTGTGCCATGCTTGCTTTCACTGTTACTAATGGGAACTATTTCATGTATTTTTTGACTCTGCTTTCCATGCTTCCTTTAGACACGATGCACGTTGCTTAAAAACCTTCTAGGAAAACATGGGAATCCGCTAAACGATAGGGAAATTTCCCAGCTTGGAAAGTGAGTGCTACACACTGTTAATGTGTGATTTTGTTGATTGCTTTGGCATTAATTCCCAGCAATGTTATCTGACAGAGTGACAGCAGGATATTCAGGAAGCGACCTGACATCATTGGCCAAAGACGCAGCACTTGGACCCATTAGAGGTAGGATGCATCTGTCCTACTGGTCAAATACAGTCGGGGGGAAGAATACAAGTTTTTTTTTGTCATGTTTGTTGTATTTGCCAGTAGTTTACATTTCACACAAGAAAACATTGTTTTCCATGACAGTATTTTAGAGCTCTCTTCACAATATCTGGCTTTTCTGGTAAAAATCTCTGAGAAGACTTATTATGAAACTGAGATAGTCATGAATACAGATGTGGCATCTTGTGATGCCACATCTGTATCTTCCCTTAATATGTATGTTGCGTTTGATTGAGAGGAGAAAAAAACACTCAGACCTTTAAAGAACACCCGTTTGGTAATCCTTCTGAAGCTGGATGCTTCTCCCCTGCTTTAAAGGTTGCTGTCTGTCTCCTGGCAGGGTTGCAAGCTTTCAGGGTGAATCATGAGTTAATGACCGAGTCTGAGGGCTTAGACAAGTTTTCATAGCGCTTTTCTTACATGTATGAGCAAATAAGCAGGTATTAGTGTAAAAAAAAAAAGAAAAAGTTTTTGGGACTGTTACGCTGCTTAAAATGGATTTATCAGCCTGGGCGTGCAGGTGGCACAGTGGTTAGTTTGCATGACCCATGTAGGGAGGCCTTCGTCCTCGACATGGCCGACCCAGGGTTCGAATCCGGCTTGTGGTCCTTTGCTGCATGTCTGTCCCCCTCTCTCATACCCCCTTTCCTGTCAGCCTACTGTAAGAAAAATGAGCCACTAGTGCCATAAAAACTAAAAAAAAAACCCATATCAGCCTGAATTGAGTGTAACTTTGGCAACTTTAGTGTAGCCATCGGTTGTCCTGAAAAGCTCTGGACAGACAAGCCGATAAGCTCATTTTTATGAGCCTATTGGCTTTCATTTTCAGCATAATGGGGAAAAATTGAGAGTGGAATTCCGCTACGGGAAAATACAATGATGAGAACCCTGATTGTTTAATTTAATTAAAACGTCAGGGCAGCAGAATGTAGTTTACCGGCGTCAGAGTGTGAATCTGTGTTTGAATGACTAAACGTAGTGTGAAACTTTCTGGGGTCTGCACAATTGATAAAGCAATGGCCATTTCCCATTTTACAATAAAACAAATTCAAATTGTGTCGGAATTGTTAGGGGTAACAAAAAATGTTAATAGCATTAATTTTTCAGCTCAGGATAGAGCATTCATGTTCATTTTTTTTCTCTTAGAGTTGGGACCTGAACACGTCCGCAACATGTCTGCTAGTGAGGTGAGATAACAGATAAATACCCATAAAACTACTCTTTTTTTTTTTTTTTTTTTTTAGTGTGTGCTTTTACAAGCCAGTAATGAAGTCTTTTTGTTTGTTTACAGATGCGCAACATCAAGATGAAAGACTTTGAAGAATCGCTGAAGCGCATCAAGCCCTCTGTTAGTCCAGCAACCTTGAATATGTACAGCAAGTGGAACAAAGATTATGGCGACACATCGGCTTTTTGAACCCGATGAAACAACAGTTGTCTCCTTCCATGTTTGCATGGATGAAAATGGCGGGGCGCTCTGTTGGAGCATTATGGGATGACTTCCTGTTCTGTGGAAATGCTTTCCTACTACTGTTCTTAAAAGTGTATTTAGTTACACTCCTTATGCACTGTTTGATCGTTATTTATAATATTAAGCAGAGTTTGAAATGATGACTCTCATCCCTGGGGAAAAAAAAAACATCCTATTTTTTTTTTTTAGATGCAATAGATTTACAGAAATGTTGATATTTTTGATCACTAAGTGCTGTAAGTATTAATGAATGAGAATAATTGGGAGAACTGCCAAAGTGATTGTCTTTGCTTATGAATTCAGACACTTTTCCTTTGTACGCATAGTTTATAGGTACAGATACTTCTGTTTCATGTGAAAGTAGGACCTAATGAACTGTTTCTCCTTTCAGTAGCTGATTAAATCCACTCAATGTAAAATTCTCCATCTGTTAATAAACATTCATTAAACCTTCATTGTCTCCTAATTAAATTTACAGGTTAATCAATAGTTTAAGTATTGGAAAAGATACAGAATACATTTTCAGCCTTGCTTCCTTTTGCCCATTTCTTTCAGTCTAACCAGCTATCAATTCATTCATCATGGTGTCCCAAAAATTATTGATCAATCATCAGTCAATACATTCACCTAATTCCTGTATCCATTGATCTATTTGTTTGTCCATCCATCCATTTGGGCACTAGACATTCAACAACCAAAGCATCCATCTAGCCATCTATATTTCTCCATCCATCCTTTAGTGATAAAATCCATTCATCCACCATTTTATTTGTTATTTTTTGGTCAGTTGCTTCTGCAAAGTTAATTGATTTTGTTTTGTATTATTTGTTACTGAATGAAATCGTCATGCCCGTGTTGATCTGTGTGTGGAATTTTAATATTTATGCTAGAAATGTGGCCCTTTATTGATATTTTACATGCATATGTTGAATAGTTTTATAAAAACATAAAATACAGGCCAAACTAGCAGCTAAACTTAGGCTGAAGACCATGTGTTTGTCTTAGTGCTCATAGCACAGGGTATAAAATAATTCTGCCCTAAAATATGAGGCAGTGACACCCAGAAAAGTTTAACACTGAACAAAATGACCAGGGAAATTTTCTTAACACGCGCCAATACCTACCCCTCAGTAAACTTCTGTAGACAAAAAAGCAGTGTTTTAATGACCTTCCCTGCAAAACTCGTGTATAGGAATATTTACTATATACTTGTACATTTTATTTACTGCTAAAATTTTAACATCTAATTAAAACCTTTTCCTTCCCACTTTCACAGTACATCAGGGAAGGAGTATATATATATAATTAGGGGGTCCCCCCTTCATCTCACCATCAGTTAACCTCTAAAACGTTGAAGACCCCTGCACTAAGATGTCATGGATTGAAATCATGCATGGCACAGAAGGTTCCTCTGCTTATAACAGCACATGTCAAGGCCCGTCTTAATTTTGCCAGTGATCATTTGGATGATCCAGAGGAGTGACGAGAGAAAGTCATGTGGTCAGATGACAACAAAATAGAATATTTTGTTCATGATTTCACTAACAATGTTTGGAGGAAGAAGAATGATGAGTACCATCCCAAGAACACCATCCCTACTGTGAAGCATGGGGGTGGTAGCATCGTGCTTTGGGGGTGTTTCTTCACACGAGACAATGCGACAGCACTGTATTAAGGAGAGGATGACCAGGGCCATGTATTGTAAAAATTTGGGGAACAACCTCCTTCCCTCAGTTAAAGCATTGAAGATGGGTCGAGTCTTCCAACATGACAATGACCCCAAGCACACTGCCATGATAACCAAGGAGTATCTCTGGTTCAAATACTAATACCTACAGCTGTATCATACAAATAAATAGTTTAAAAAAAATCATATGTTAATTTAGTATTTATGTCAACATTATGTCCCTCACAGTGGACATGCAGCTACGATGACATTTTTAGACCCCTCCATGATTTCTAAGTGGGAGAACTTGCAGGGAGTTCAAATAGGTATTTTCTTCAATGTATGTTTCTTGGAGGTAGATGGTGCTGCAGCTCTTCTTTTATCTATTAAGTCACTTCTCTCTAAGCCTATAATCTGTTGTGTCTGATAGTTAAGATTTACTCAAGTTAATTAAAGATTTTAGCTTATCTATTATTTTTAACTGAAAAACTCAGTTGTGCTTTTCTTCCTTGACATTTTACTGCAGGTGCTCCTGTAACCTTGAATAATCCAGCTGTAAAACTACCCATCATCAAATGTTGGAATTTTAAGCAAATTACTCCAACAGCTTGCGATCATTCTTAAACCTTTTACATATTAAGTTACATAAAAACACGTTTATGTGTATTTGGGATCTGTTGTGAAAGACCCTTACTAGAAAGTGTGTGGTTGTGAATTAGAAGAAAATAAAACTTGATCGACATATTCTTTATAAAAATGTGTGGCATTAGTGTCTAAAACTCCATTTACTGTGGTATCCTTGAACACAATCCATTGCACATGCCTTAGGAAATCATCTAACTAGTTAATCTGTGTGGATATAATCTCAATATTAATCCTGTTATTCTGAGAATTCTTTAGTTTTGTTGGGGTTAAAGCAGACTGTTCTTTCTTTTCATCACAGATCACACTTTAAACAATCAGCTAAAAATCAAAAGTACATGGCTTTATAGTCGCCATACATTATGTTTTATGGGTTAAATAAATAGAAAGAGAGAAATTTAAAGTTCACTATAGAAGTGAGTTATTTGGTTGGATTTCTTCTCATTAATAAAGCATATTCTGGTACAGATGGATTGACAAACTGTCAGATTATACTGCAATAAACTACCTTTGTGCTCAATGCAGTTTGGTATTTTTTTAAGTAAGATTGTGTTTGCTTTTTATGATGAATAATGTTTAAATGACTTAGAAGTTATTTTCATATTAAGATGATGCATGTTACCAGCTGTTGGGAAATCCCACCTTGTCAAAGCAACTTACAGTATCAGTATGTTGATGCATCTCAGACTGTGCATCTGTACAGAAGGGCTGCAAGCAACTAGATTTGGACTCTACCTGAATTTTCTTAAGTACCAGTGGTGTTTGCTTTCAGCTTGCCTCTGTGTCAGATGAGTAATTCAGCTTAGAGCAGAGTAAACTGCATTCATGTATATGAAGTCTTTGCTTGATCCACCTTTGTGCCCCTACTGTACTTGTGTTGGAAACCTTAATTTTCCTAACAGCAGAGGTGAATAATAGCTGGGAGTCCTGTCTGTTTTTGTTTACTGTTAAAACTCACACTATTGAATGTTGAAAGGTGCATTTAGCTCCGCACTGAAAGGCTGTGTACTTTTAGCTTGAATATGTGTACCGTTTCATCCCTACAGCAAGCATTTTATAAGAGGAATAAGAAAAAAATGGCAAAAAGTGCAACGCTGGTGGAGCCATTTCCCAAAAGCTGTAATAGACAAAGTTAAAGCAGGTAAAGAAAATAGATTCCTCACATTTCAGATTTGTATTTAACATTTTGAAAAATAAACCTCGTTTTCATTCTGCTTCAGAATTTCTTTAGATACCATTAATTGTGTTGAACTCTGAAATATTTTTTTTTACATAAAATACTTAAAAATCTTGTTAGAACAGAAGAAACAAATAAATAGTAAATAATGGTGATGTATAATTTAAGATACTGGAAGTCTTTGGGTTCATTTAGAGATTCTTGATATCCCTGCTAACTTCCCTTTAATTTTCCGTCTCTCATTAATTCCAGTGACAGCATCATAGCGTGCTACGATTCTCTGCAAGGGAAACCCTTTCCTCAAACTCATGGAGTTTGTTGATCTTTTAAATGAGATAGACCTGAAAAATGCTCCTCTCAGTGGTGTAACCACACCTCCTCTTTCTCCCTCAGGGGACAGATATTGGATAGTGCTTTTTTTTTTCTTCTAGCATGTCATGACTGAAGAGCTTCTTTCATAACACCAGACAGGAATGAAGACTTTTGGGTTATGGTGTAGTCATAACCCTTTTTCTGTTTACTTTCCTCTGAGAGCTTAGCAAGACACTTCATGGATTTTTACAAGATCGGTGGATGTTACAATTCACAGCCTATAAAGTCGGTTACCAGTTGGGTTTTCACTTATTCTTCAGATCTGATGGTTTTTCTTACACTGGCAGAGTGATCTGCAAACTGTAGAATCCAAAGACCACTTTTTGGCCAAAGTCCAGCTACATAAAACTTAATTGGAACTGCATATGTCTTTTTTATATTTCATTTTTTAAAGGAAACTCTTAATAAATAAAATTCTAAAAAATCTACTACACAAGTCGGTGTCAATTTAGAAAGAAAAACATTCTAATAACTATTTTAGATTGTAAAAAAGAGAGAGATACACATTTTGGACAAATTAAGAGGATGGATATATTTTAGTTTTTTTTTGTTTTTTTAAAATCCCCATCCATTTATCTGTTGCTTAACTAGAGAGCCCCTTCAATGAAAAACTACCACATTCTAGGTGCAAAAACAACAGACTTATTCTCCAAGCAGCTATTAGTCTTTAAAATCATCCCTGCCTAGAATTAGGGCGACAGTAGCATTGGATGTAGGAGTTTACCCTGAAATCGAAGGATTGACGGTTCAAGCCCCAGCTCCGACTTTCAGTGTCGTTGTGTCCTTGGGCAAGACACTTCACCTGCATTGTCTACTGATGGTGCTCAGAGGGCCCGGTGGCATCAGTGTACGGCAGCCCCGCTTCTGTCAGTGAGCCCCAGGGCAGCTGTGGCTACAATGTAGCTTGCCACCATCAGTGTGTGAATGTGTGCGTGACTGGGTGAATGAATGTAGTGTAAAGTGCTTTAGTCAAGTCTCCTGACTTCAATAAAGGCTCTATATAAGTACATGCCATTTACCATTTAAAAGAACTCAATAAGTGTTTGTACAAATATTTATTTTTCCAGTTTATATTGTCATTAAACTGTCACAAGTACAGAGCAAGGAAATTAACTCTCTACATTTAACCCAACTCCTTGGGGAGCAGTGGGCTGCCATCGTGCAGCGCCCAATGAGCAGTGTGGGGTTGAGGGTCTTGCTCAGGGACCCAGAGTGGCAGTCTGTGGGAGTGTGGCACAAACTCAGAACCTTAGGGTTCCAAGCTCTATGCCCTACCACTAGACCATCACTCCCCGAATATC